CTCTCGGACTGAACAGTTTGAGGAGCTGCTGGTTCCTGAAGTTCTGATCCCAGGTGAGGCCGGGCTGGCTCTATCTCTAACCTAGTCCTCTCCTGGTCCTCTCCTGGTTCCTGGCCTGCCAAGAACCTCTCTGACGAGTGTCCAGTGATCCAGCCTGTGTCCTCCTCAGCAGGTGTGGACACCCCCCCCCCCCCCCCCCCCCCCCCCGTCAGGAGTTGGACTGAAAGGTTATAGTTGGGTTCACACTGTACCAACTTGTCAAATGTGCAGTTTTGTCAGTGGACTTTTACGTCTACATATGACAGGTCAGGTGTCCTCGGGTCTGCTGTTGACATTCTGGGTCGCCATTTCAATTTATGCTTCTTACATGCATTGTGACTTTTCAAAATAAAATTCAGTTTTCACAAGAATGGCACAGAAACCGCCCTTTTAAGAGTTTTTAATGACCTGCTTTTAACTGTTGATCCTGGCGACTCTGTTGTCCTGGTCCTTTTGGATCTGTCTGCTGCTTTTGACACGGTCGATGACAACAACATTCTCCTGTCATGTCTTAACTCGTGTGTAGGCATTAAAGGTACAGCTATTAAATGGTTCCAGTCTTATCTATTGAATAGAAGTTTCTCTGTCCATTTTGGCCAGTATTCTTCAGCTGCGTCCCCACTTAGTTGTGGAGTACCACAAGGCTCCGTCTTGGGCCCTATTTTATTCTCATTGTATATGCTCCCCTTGGGGTCAATTTTTAAAAAAAATCTCCTTTCATTGTTTTGCAGATGAAGAATGAATGTTTTTTTTAATTAATTACTGATTATATTTATATTCCATAGCCTGTTCAGCATTTGGTCAACTGAGGTTGTTTTTAAATGTGCTATATAAATAAATTTGAGTTGAGTTGAGTTGAGTTGAGTTTCTGTTCATTAAAGTAACAACCTCAGTAAAAACACCTTGTCTTTACATTTATTTCCTTGTGCAACAAAAGCATGTGGTTAAGTTTAGAAAAAAACATCACAGTTTGGTTCAAAATTCACAAGGGAAGTGAACAGCTGGCTCCTGGACGAAAGGCTGGACTTTTTTGGACCCATCCCAACGTATTCTCATAGAACGATTCATACAAAAAAGTGCATGCACAACAGTTCGTATGATATCCAATGAATTTGTGCCCCACAGATGACATTATGTCTTTTTTGTTTTCACTTTATTTATTAGTTTTCACATTTCAGCCATCATTGCTGTAGGTCTGCCATTTTCCTCACCCTCTGGGATCTCAATAATCCTTAGATTCTGATGGCGGCTTCTGTTCTCTACGCTGTCATTCCGGTCTTTCAGCTTATCGACCGCTTGTTTGTGGTCTGAAATGGTGCTCTTCCATCTCGTTGATGTTGAAATCATGGTGGTTGAGTGTGCCCTCCGTCTCCCATATAGTAGCCGTTTCAGCGTGCATTAAGCGGAAAGATGACACCTCGGCTCTAAACTCCGTTCTTCAAACAGCAATGTCAGCCTTGGTGTCTGACGTTACATCTTTTACACAGGCTACAGTTACATAATTCATGTAAAATTACGAGCTCACCTCTGCACACAGCAACAGTACTGGACTGAACTCTCTAAGAAGTGTGTTACGAGTAGAAGAGGATCAGCAGTAGTATTAATACCACAGAGCAGAAGTACTCTGTTACAGGTTCACGTATCATCAGCAAAATGTAAGCAAAAGTATTTTGACTGGACCTCTGTGTTTGTCACCACCATTTATAAGTTCCTGTTCTGACCGTCAGATTGAATCCATGACACTTCTGTTTTTGCCTTTAAATACTACAGTACCCATGAGCCTCTGCTGCAGTTGCTGTGGAGAAGAAGACAGTCAGATGTGGGAGAAAAACATGTTTCCATGGTTACGCTGAGAACATCACTAAACATATGATGGACACCATCAGTGAATGTGGTTGATAACCCCGGGGCCCCCAGAGGCGCTGTGCCCGGCCCTGGTGTGCGTGCCTCCACCCTGCGTGTGTGTGTGTGTGTTCAGCCAATAGGCATCCTCCACCTCCTCCTCCTCCTCTACCTCCTCCTCCTGCTCCTCTTCTGTTGACAGATCTGGCTTCATCCTCTCAGCGGCCACAATAGGAAAATAATTCAAACTTACTGGACCTCATTATGAGTCTGCAGGTGCACGCGAGCCGGCGGCGGTTAATCCCGCTCAATTAGCGCACGGCCCCGCGCACACCGACAATGAGCCAGAGTCAGCATCTCATGTATGAACAATAAAACAACATACACCGTGTGCGTAAAGTTTACATCAAATTAAAATGTTAAAACTCTCTGTCATTATTGTGACATTTGACTGTTAGAGCGTTTTTATTATAAGTAATTATACATGAATATTTATTACATATATGTTATAATCTTTTTAATAAATGTTTCTGTGAGGATCTCAGTGTTACATTCACTGACCCAACTGTTCTCTGCTTTATCACCTGTGCTGGAATCATGGAATGAAATCACAAAGCATTTGTGTCTGTAATCAATTACAGTTACTGAGAAAAAATATAATCAAAATGCTGGTGATTACAGGGGGGGTTACATCTAAATAAAACGTTTCAGTAAAATGTTTATGTGCAATAGAACATTCATACTGTTGCTTTGCATATTTCCATCATGCAGGACTTTCTGGAGCTGCACCATAATCTGTGACTCAGTGTTCCCAACTGTTAAAAACATGCTTGAGTGTTTTGAGTGATTGAGTGCTTAAGGTTAGGGTCAAGGGGTGGGGTCACCCAGTCTGACAGGTGTGATACCTTCTTTTGCCACAGTCCATTTCCATTGTTTCAGCTCATTGCCAAGTTGAAAACATTTGTTAGTAAAATAATCAACAAGTAATCAAATGCAATAAGGGACTGTTCTTTACTTACTGGAGGAGAGGGGTGACTGGGGTCTGACATCTGGGTTTTGATTTTATTTTATTTTAGTTTAATTTAGTTTAGTTTTTTGTATGTCCACCATTGAATTTTAAGAACTTAAAAGCTATAATCAAAATCCCGGAGCTGAAAAAAAAAAAGTCCCTTTTTTCCAGTTTTGTCGTTCATGCTGGTTTATTTATGCAAACGATTTATTTTTGCAAAACTTTAAATGAGATGGAGAATAAAGTGATTTTGATGAAGTATCATTATTTTAAGCTCAGATTTGGTAGTTATGGTTTTTATCTGACAGAAGCATTTATTCCACATGATGTGTTCAAAGATTGTTGGAAATGTGAAAACAACAATAATTTCTGCATTTACAGTTCCTGGCTGTAACCTTGGTGATTTATAAAGAAAATACACCTTCCAAAGCAGTGGCATTAGATAGTTGCGACAGGCCCCAGAGCACGCTATTATGACGGGCCTTGGTGCTGCCATTGTGCACACATCTCGTGACATGATCAGAGTCTAAATATTGGATAACATCAACATACATGTTTTTGAACAAACGACAAAGCATATCTGAACATGACAAAAAATACCAGAGAGAATAAGAAATTATTAATTTAATTTTTCCTTTCTCAAGAGCATATAAAGCAAATGGCACTGTTTAAATTTAAGAGTTCTTTTTGTAACCCTCCACTGTTTCAAAAATTATTTCACATGCCTCCCCATTTTTGCACCATCCCCCTCCCCCCTTGTAAGTAACGAACAGTCCCTAAATTACATTACTTTGATCAGATTTTTTTTTTAAATTGGCCATTTAAATAAATTGAATCCCAAACTCAAACATCACGTCCACCTGCAGGCCTTTCTCTTATAATGTTTCAATTAATTCAGATGGAAAATAAAATAAATAAAACATCTAATTTTTACAATATCTACAATTATTATTATTACTATTATTATTATCATTTTTAATTTCATTTATTTTTATTTTATTTTTTATTCCTCTCGGGCCTGTTGGCAGACAGATTAATGCTGCAGGAGGATTACCATCGTCTTCATTTTCCTTCTCCTTTTCTTTCCTCCTCTGTTTTGTTCTTTTCTGTCCTCCTTGGCATGAGTCTGTCCCCCCGGGTGTCCCCTGATTATCTGTCCATCCTCAACACGTGCAGAGACAAGACCGCTGCTGCTGGACGTGTGTGTGTCTGAGAGGAGGGGGGTGGGGGGGATTAACACCCCCCACCACCACCACCACCTCCACCACCTCCACCCTGCCCCATAATGTTCTCATAATACTTTTATTACAGCCTTCCAGGAACTTCAGGCGTCTCTTGAGCTTCTTTTTATCTGATCTGCTGCAGTTAAAATAAAGTGTTTGAGCCAAAAAATTCTATGTAGTTTTCTAATATAATTTTTAATTTAATATTAATGTAAAAACAAACAAACTGTGGGTTGCTTTAAGGGACATTACATTACAGTACTTTATCAACCTGTTATATTCTCAAACGAAAAAAGAAACGTTTAATTGACTTTATTTAGATTTAGCACCCAAATAAATATGGTAAAATTATTACTGGTGCCATTTTATGTTTCATATTTTAATATATAAAGGCCGGCTGTTTATCTTGTGGTGTTACAGTCTTATTATATGTGAGTTCCTCATTAACATGACAGTAAAACTTTACAACTCACAATAGACGATCTTTGTTTAACTTGTTTCCACCTGCTGCTGGAAGCAAACCGTTATCTTATTAATATTAATTATCATAAAAGTACATTTCAATGCACCCTGGGCCTTTTGTCTGCAGACACAGGCTGGGTGCGTCGTTATTATAGAGACTGTGAGTTATTTTAAATTCAGATGATTTCATACTGAGATTATAAATGACAGCACACATCTTCGATGAGAGGAAAAAAAGTCACGTGAAGACAGAAGTTATTTTAATAGAAACGTTATAACTTTATTTCGTAGAAAACTGGCTGCAGCAGTAAATAGAATAAAAATCTCTTTATGTACAAAATACAAATTTCATGTGTCGAAACAAAACGAGTGGAATAAATAAAACAACAATAATCTAACGGGGGGGGGGGGGGGGGGGGGGGGGGGTTCAGTGTGAGTGGGGGGGCAGGGGGGCAGAATACATAATGAATGAGGGCAGCTCCATTCAGTTTATTGTCAGAGCGTTCAAACTCGATTTCCACGCTCTCTTTTCTGCTTTATCACTCTACAAATTGTAAAATTGACTTTTCACCTCCGAGATACAAAAAAATGTGATGTGTAGAGACCTGACTGTAACCTGCAGGAGGGGGGCAAAGTGCAAAGGTTTTTGGAGGAACATAGAAAATAAAACAGAACTAAATAAAGAACAAATTAAGTTATTCTCATTTACATCCGTCAGTAGAGACATGTGTGAAGTAATGAGCTCAGTAAGGCAAACAGTGATTCTCTTATTCCAACAGAAAGCGGACTGTCCGTCTGTCCCGCTGTTTCCGTTATATGTCTCTACATTTCTCTGGTCTGTGAGTCCGCGGGGCTGCGGGCCTCCTCCGGCGGCCTGGCGCTCAGTAGATGCCCGGCACGAAGCTGCGGAAGCCGTACAGAGCGTCCTGCTGCAGGTAGCTGTAGTCCTCCGGCCCGGCGGGGCTGCCCGGGCTGGAGGCGCAGTAAGACGGGGAGGAGGAGGACGAGGAGCCGCTGGAGCTCCAGGAGCAGGCGTCACTGCCGGGACTCGGGGCCTCTCCGAGACGCACGGAGCTCAGCAGCAGAGGAGCGTCGCTGGTCTTTCCCGCCTGCAGGTCGGCGATACGGATGGTCTCTGACAGCGCCCAGATGTAGTTGTGCGCAAAGCGCAGAGTCTCGATCTTGGTTAGTTTGGTCTCGTCCGGGAAGGCCGGCAGGACGCCGCGCAGCGTGTCCAGGGCGTCGTTCAGGTTGTGCATGCGGTTTCTTTCCCGGTCGTTGGCCTTTACGCGCCGGTTCTTCTTCACCACCTGCACGGTGGCTTCATTTCTGGCGCGTCCGCGGCGCCGCTTCTTCTGCTGCTGCAGCTGCTGCTCGGGCTCCGGGGAGCGCGCCGGGCACAGCGGAGAGGAGTCCGGGGAGGCGGAGCGCAGGCTGGCGCGGGAATCCTCATCGTCGGTGTGCGGGAAGAAGTCGCAGCTGTTGCTCTCGATGTCGGAGTAGACGGAGTCCATGATGCAGGTTTGTTCTGTGGAGAGAGGAGAGGAGCGCGTTAGGACCTGTGGCTGACCGGAGCGCGTGCAGTGTGATGCTGAGAGTCCCACAGGTGAGCGGAGTCACGCGCAGTGAACTTACCTGAAGTCAGCTTAAGTTTCCTGAGATCAGCAGGACCGAGTGTTTTGGAGCAGGACGAGCGGCACGCGTCTTGTTGCGTCTTTTTGCTTTGGATCAGCTCGTGTGAGCCGGTGAGCCTGGCACACGACCGGCCTCAGCCCGCTTATATACTGTGGACGGGACAATGACCGGCCCCCTGCTCCGGTACCCCCCCGTGACCCCCCCTCCTCGCTGGCATCAGAGTGCAGGATGAGGAGGATGAATGCTGCGGCAGGTCTGCCCCGTGCCGCGGGAGCTGCTCATTAACATAATGACGCCTGCGGTGTTTGTTCGCCCCGCACAGAGAAGCGTGCCGGTAATCACGGCCAGCCAATCAGAGCCAGCGGCCGGCCACGCGAACGACAAGCAGGAACCCGCACCTCCTCCCCCCTCCTTCCTCCCTGTGAGGGAGAAAAGACCAAACCCACTTTCAGAGTTAAAACCAAAAACATAAAAAAGAGAAAGAATAGAGAAAGAAGAGTCAGTAGGACTCCCCCCCCTCCACCCTGCTCCCCACCGGGCGGAGACACGCTCCGGAGGATTCATCCATCCTTCCACCCATCCCTCCATCCATTCATCCACCCATCCATCCATCCTCTAACACAGACAGAAAGAGAAACATCCTTCACCTCAGTCAGAGTAACAACACAAAGAAAAGTCTGGAGCTCTGAACAGGAAAATGTCTTCAGACAGTTTATGAACTTCTTTCTTTTATAATAAACTTTAAACAAAACTTTAATCCTGAATGTGAGAAAACAAAAATTTGAAAATTTGAAAGCTTCATTTCTTTAATGTGTTTAAATTGATTTCTTTTTTTGTAATGTGATAACTCTGTCAATTTAAAATAAGTTACAAAGTGTTTCACAATAAAAGCATTTGGCAGCAAATATCAAACAGGCAGGTGCACACGAGTGAGAAAAGAGGAATATTATCTACAAAAAGAGCAGGAGCATCAGTTTTGAGAAGTGAGGGGATTTTAATGAGTCTTGGTAGGTCAGCCTCTTTGAACACAATCTGATTATTAACAACTGAAATGTAAGGTTGGACTCTGAAGTCCACTGACTGCCAAAAACAAGGATTCATTGCTTAGCATTTAAAAAAAAAAAAAAAACAACAACAACAAAAAAACATGTCACGCTTTTAGGAAATTTTCTTAGTTGGAAAAATAATGATTGCACATCATGAACAGAAATGATCTGACTGGATAATGAGGGTAAAACTGCTGCAGGATCTTTTAACAGATGTCTTTACACTCGTTTAATTTGAAAACATGCAGCTTCACAGTCACTGACATCATCATGTCTGACAGACAAATGCATTTAAGCCTAATGGTTGCCTACATTCAGTTTATGTCATCAGAAATATTTGTATGAAGATGAGTTTAAATTCTGCAGTCACACGTTACACATGTTCATCTATCTATCTATTCATTTATCTAAATTAGTGCCCCTAGTGGTTAACTTAGGTTTAGAAAAAGAACCCTGGCTCAATGTCATCATGTTAGGTAAAGTTATCTTGGTTAGGTTTAGGAAAATCAAGTTACGTAGATTAGGTTTAGGTAAGTGAAGTGCGTAGGATAGGCTTAAGAAAAGATTTTTGGGTTAGCGTCATCATGTTACATACTTAACGTAGAGTTATGTACAGATTTAGGAAACAAAGCACAGTCAGATGTTGTCATGTTACGTACTTGATGTCAAGTTATGTAGTTTAGGTTTAAGGAAAAGAAACATGGTTGGTTGTCATCACGCTATGTACTGACACATATGTAATGTGATGATGTCACACAAACACCCGTTTCCTGGTGAAGGTTTTTTGACCCATCTACTGCCCCAGTCAGCCTTCTTTCACAGGCTTTTGCTCTTTATTCTACTTTCGTCTTTGCTCCTATCAGTGCATTTGTAATGTGATTGCAGCATTCATGGGACATGTGCAAATTCCGGTGCATTACTTGTCGTAGACATACCTATGAGCAGTGCATGAGAACAGGCTGATATATTTTTTTAACTAAATGAAACCAAAAAATGAAATAAATTAACATGGGAGGAATTTGATATTCTGCACCAGAATTACACATCTGGCACCAGACTGTGATGTAAATATGTTTTAAATACTCAGAAAACTGCACAGAATTTGGTTGGTGGGGTTTTGCTGGAGTTGTTTTGACCCATGATCTCAATATTCCTAAATACATAATTATAACATTAAACAGGACTTAAAACAGAGCCTTGAGGAACACCGTAGTGTGAAATAGCAGGCAGACATCCCCTACAATATTTATTTAGATGAATAAGATGTAAAGCAGTTAGGAGCAGACCCGGAGAGGCGTACCCGACGTCTGATCCATGATCAACAATCCACATCCAGCATTAAAAATGACCCTGATCTTTGGTGTGTGCAGACGGAGCGATGCGAACTGTTTCACTTTATGAAGTCTGGCTTTTTGTTTGTCTTTTCATCTCTTCAGGCAGCAGTAAACCCGTCCAGCATGAGCGCATACAGGCCCGGGCCAATTTTCTTTAAGTGTTTTTTAAAGACATCTTTATGAGACAGGCATACCATTTTCCATTAATTATTCCATTTATTCAGTTTGCAGCTCAGCGGAGAAGAAGCAGAGACCTGCAGAGTCTTTCTGCGGCTTTCTTCTGCAGGAACGGGGGGGACAGTCATTTATAAATAATTACACAATGTTTAGAGTCTTCAGGCATGTATAATATATCAAAGCGATTATAAGGTGAATTGTTCCATTGTGGCCGTCCGCCCTGCACTTCTTTTCACTCCTCTCCTGGTTTGTCCCTCGTCCAAATTCAGCTCCTCTGGCCTTTTGTGCTGCTTTCTTTCTGCCTCAGCCACTCTATTGGCATCATTCTTATTCAAATGGGCCTCAGCAGGAACAAAACCAAACCCAGGCTGCACACAAATCATCTCTGCCCCGGCTGCAGGGCCGGCACAAGCCTCTGTGAGGCCCCGACAACAAGTCTGCAAATCCTAAATCCTGTTTCACTCAAAGAGGATAAACCTCACTTTAAAAAAAAACGCTCCGACACAAGTAAAGATCCTGTTTTCTGCATTTTACTGATGTCAGAGTTAACAGGTGTCTGCAAGAAAATCGACGCAAGAATTAAAACGTGTTTGTTCTTTCTGCGGCATTTTGTATTTGTCCATGCCTTTACAAGAGCTGGAGAGTGACAGGAGGGGAAGAAAGAAGCAAGGAAGCATGAAACAGAATGTGGAGAGGAGAAAGAGAAGTCTTGAGCAGGTTGAATAGATCTTCATCAGTGAAGAGAGAAAGACGGAACAAGTAAAAAAAATAAGAAGGAAGAGGAAGAAACATGAGTGTAAGATGAAAGAAAAAAAAGAAACTTGAATAAATCTTCTAAAACTTTAAAAACATTTGTGCTAAAAAGAGATTTTCAGTAAAAAGGAACATAAGTGAACATTGTGGAGACATTTTTTTACCCAACAACACTCACTCCGACCCAAGTGCCAGAAAAAAATGTCCAAATTGTGTGTTTTTGCAAACCATGTATACGTGACATTTGTACATTATTTTGTAGCCGATACATTGAAACTTTACATTTTAACAAAACTCTTTAAGGTGTGATTAGGTTTAAACACAAAACCCACAGGGTTGTGGTCAAGGAGGTTAAAATGAGGAGACGTCACAGCGTCAAATCGCATCATATCATTGGGATACAACACACGCACAGTGAAATGTGGTCTGCAGTTGCTGAAAGAGCTCGGTCTCACACTGAAGTCGTTGAAATTTGGCGCTTGACAAAGACACTGACGAAAAAAGCCGTCCTTTAACGTCATAGTTCAATGGTGCTTGGCGGTGTCAGGGAGAAATGCAGTGGGACAAGAACAAAAGTTAAGGTAGCAAAAGTGAAAGTACGGTGGGTGGGAGGGTCCAGCAAACACCGACCTTCAGCCGAGAGGCCAATGCTCGCGTCCTATAAGACTATAAAGCTAAACCCTGTTTTTTTTTCTGAAACCTAACCACGCGCGTTTGTTGTTGTAGGAAAGAAAGGGACAGTATGTAGACAGTAAATTTTCTGTAAAGCAGAAGTGTATTTTGAAGTTTTAACTTCAATGTAACAGGCAGAACTTGACACGGCGTCCCAGAACGCAAACAACCAACACACCCAGGGTACCTTTCATGTCGTATGTGGAAAGTCCATGACCAGATGTTGATGTGTGACGAGGTTGGAGTGACAATGTGTTGGCTGAAAGGTTCAATAGATGGCATGTTATTATGGAATATGGGGGATGTTGATTTGTTTCACTAAGGCGTCCACAGTCGGCCTTGGGTCAGAATATATTTGTATGAAAAACAAAGATGCTTTCTATGTGCAAATGTTCTAATGTATATAAAGTATATAAAGTTCTGTCAGGCTGAGTGCACCCATCTGCTGTAATACTCCGACATCACAACTCCAGTTACATGTGTCACAGGCCAAAGCTCCCGTGGGGTCAAAGACTGTCTCCAAGCTTTCATTGAGCAGCCTGGTTATAGTTAGGAAAAGATCATGTTTGGAATTTAAACACTCAGGTTCCGTGGCTGAAACACAGCTGGAAACGCCACAATGTGTCTGTGACAAAACGCACTTTTGGTGCCGCAAACACTGGTGGATGGCGCAATTTGTCACCAAAAGACAGCCAGTGTTGTTGTGTTGTTTGTTGGTTTCAAACAGTAGTCTGCAGCTTGGCAGGTGTCTCGCCAAGGTGACACGCCATCCACCATCCCCTCCACCTCCCTGAGACAGAAGTCCCTCTTACACTGCCTGTTCAAGTCGCGACTATCACACCATTACTCCGCCTCGATGTTCTGTATAACAGGTACGATCACAGAATGGGGGGACAGAGTTGACTCACCTCAGAGCCAGAAATGAAGGTAGTGACAGAGCAGAAATGATGTCTGTATTGACAGGACAGCATCATGTGATGCTTTGACAATGTGTTATTTATGCTACCTACTGTGTGAGATTTAAAAAGTAGCTGTTAGCAGTTAGCGGCTAACTCACCAAAGAACACAAGCTGACTGTCTGTCCTGCAATTTGGGGAAACATGCCTGTCTAAAATGAAATCTAGGTTTCCCCACTGAAGCACAGACCCTTGAACTTCTCATCTGTTCTGCTTGTTTCTGATGTTGATATAAAATTCTGCAGAAATATGTTAAATACTAAAATATTTAT